AAAGATGTACATTTAGAAGAAATAAATAAGTTTATTCTTTTTTTAGCGTATAGTGTACGCGTGCTCTTGTCTTGGACTTCTTTATGATTAAATCAGATAGGAAATATGGGAACAAGTTAGTTCCGTTATGTCTAGCTAATGTTTATAGCACTATCTCATATCGTACAAAAATTGCATATTAGAAATATACTGTAAAACTTCTATTTTTTCCGATATCACTTCGCAAAAGTAACTATTGGACATTGTCATCATCCGTTGCTCTTTCCATGTTCTGTGATCCGTTGCATGGAATATGCACCACTGAACTCCGCTTCCTGTATTCGGTTTTACATTTTATGTAAAGAGGTGGTTATACCGCCATCAATCGGAAGGAATAAACTCTTTCTGGCATTTCCGAAATTCGCCTCTTAGGATACCCACGGAATAAAATGTGGTACAACATTGCACTAAACTAGTAGAATGCAAATTAAAAAGTATTTAAAAAAAATAAAAATGACAGAAACTAAGAAACAGTAGACCTGTAACTGGTAGCGAGGTAATCTATCTTAGTAATTTCGGATGAGAACTAAGGGCAAAAAAGTACTCTGTTTTTTTTTGATGTGATCATTATTTCTTCTTCTAGGATATCCGGGAGCTTACACATTTGGTTATGATATATCTGATCCCGAGACTGGAAATATGCAGTATCGTAACGAGGAACGCTATCCTAACGGAACTGTTGTCGGTAGCTATGGATACCTCGATCCCTTTGGCAGCACACGACGCTATCAATATGTAGCCGATGAGAGAGGTTATAGGTAAGCGTAAAAATTTAATTATACAGTCTTGCGGTAAACAAAATGAATTAAGTTGTTGCTTAGAGGTTACTGTGCAATTTGCAAGGGTGCTGTTAATTACAAGCTCTATTAAGTGGCTGGTCTTGGATGGCCAGTGGATGGCTTGGTTCCTATGTTTAGTCGGTGCCAGTCCGACATAAGTCGTCCTTGCCCCCGCGAGGCTGATGTGCGTAGCCATTTCCCCATGTAAAAGAAAAAAAAGGTCTTGGATTAAAAACAGAGCTAATATTTGTAGTCAATGTATATATTATATCTAATGTCTCTACGTAATGTAACATGTATGTACCTAGTCCGGTCATAAATTCTGTCACATGTTTAATATAAAATAATTGAAACAAGGTTACTCATTATGTAACCATTTATATACCAAAATGAACTTAACAAAACATAGATTCTTATGACACTAAAGTTTATTCAAAATGACCTCCGTGATTTTGAATACAGTCCTTCAATCTGCGCGGCCAGTCGTCTATCGCAGCACGAACGAGGTCCATGTCAATATCGGCGGCTGCCTTAATCAAGGATGTCTTGAGTGACTCCAAATTGGGATGAGGTTTTGAGCACACCTTTTCCTCCAAGTGTTGCCATATCTTGTAATCTAACGGATTCAAATCTGGACTGGAGGAGGGCCAGTCTTCGTGCCGGATGAAGTCGATTTCACGCGCCGCCAGCCAGTCTTGTGTGCTCTTCGCTCTATGAGCTGGCGCCGAATCTTGTTGGAATACCCAGTGCCTGTTATTAAACATGGTATGAGAAACATGTTCCACAAGGTTCGTTAGGACTGTATTTTGATACACAACTGCATTCGTTTTTACACCTTTCTCACAAAAATGTACCTCTGTTAAGCCCCAATAAGAAACTCCCAACCATACCATGACCTGATGGAAAATGACCTCGTTGGACCCGCGGAATACGGTTGCTCGCTTCTTCACTACTGTGTGCGTACACCTTATCATTTTGTTTATTGTAGCTCTCTTCTACGGTAAAGATTTTTTCATCCGAAAAAAGAATTTCCTGATATTTTTTTCCCACGTACAGCTTCAACAAAGCGCGGCATCTCTTCAGTCTCAGGTCCATTAGACGAGCATTCAAACGATGTCCCATTTTTCTTCGATATGCCCGAAGCCCTAAGTCTTCATTAAACACCCTTTTCACCATGGTTCTGCTTAACCCCATCTGAAGGGCCGCCAACAGTTTCTGCTTACGTTTGGGATTTCTTTGAATTCGCGCCTTCACAGCTTTTATCACTGCTGGAGTCCTAACAGACCGAGGGCGACCAATTCTTGACCTGTCATCTACACTAGAGTCTTCATTGTATCGTTTGATGGTACGATAAACGAATCTTTTGGTTATATTCAAATTTTTCAGTATGTCAAAAATTTGAATTGGCGCGAAACAGCAACGATGCAACGCAATAACTGCAAAACGGTCTTCTTTAAGCGTCCACTCCATATTTAAAAATGAGTAAAATTCTAAAAAGGATACAGTTTTATTTTCATGAACAATTCGAAATTCGAATTCAATAAACTTTTTTGTGGCCAGCATTCTAAAAGAAAAGTTTTTACTATGTGACAATACTTATGACCTGACTAGGTAAATAATGTCTCGCAGCAAAGCAATGGCAATAATCTTCAATTTGGTACCTTGGATATTTTTTTTGCTTAGGCGCCGTTCGAAATATTATAGCAATAACTCTTAAAATTCTAGATGCTTAGATTTTTTTTTATATTTTTAAAACATTATTATAAATAGTGTAAGTGACGATATTAAATATTACGTGATATTGTGTGAAACGTGAAATAATTTGATTTTGTATGTTTGGCAATAAATACCATACGCCTTTTTTTTTCATTAAAATATATTTTAATGGTGACGTAATTGCGAATGATTCAACTTTGAAAGCATTGGTGAACAGAGCTAACAAACATAATATGTTTATAATAATTTGATCTCATTTTGATAGATCCAATATTTAACATTTTGCAACAAACAATGCAATTACATTAACATATTGAAAAATAAATCTATTTATTTTATGATATTTTTTTAATCTATAAAGGTGACAAACGAGTACCTACACAGTTTACCCGATGATATGTGAATGCTGCTGCCTTTAGACATTTATTTTTTTAATTAAGGATCTGAGGACCAAGATGGAACTTGTTACTAGTAAAAAGTGTCAAATACCTTCAGCTTGGTGATTTTACACGAACTGACTCTTTTTTTTTATAGGATAAGGGTGACAAACGAGCGCACAGTCCACCTGATGGTAAGTGTTTGCTGCGGCCTATAGACATCTACATCTATCCTCGTTTGCGAATCAAGATGCAGATGCTTTGTCACCCGTGAGGACTAAGATGGAATGCCTCATTTCCAGTAAAAAGGGCCTCCGGCCACCTGCACTCACCAAGCGAAACGCAGAGGTAAACCTCTACTTCACGCTGGTATTCTGTGAGGTCGTGGTACCACCTCGGTTCGAGCCGGCCCATCCGTACGACAGCAAAAGCTGCCGCGTGTCTCTACCACTGTTACCACTCTTACTTACTCGATCACCATGTTTTGATCCAATAGGTACTAACAACTCGCCATTTACAGTGTAATGATGATGAATGAACGATGTAACACGGCGACAAAAAGTGAACGATATACATATGACTTAAATATGACTCAAACTCAGCTTAGATATTAACGTTATTTTTTATATTACATAATAGAATATACAATATTTTGTTATATGCAATATTAAAAACTATAATACAAAAAAACTAATACTAGTAACTTAACTATCATACAGTCCTACTCCCCGCGGTATCGTAGCAAGAACGCTGGCTGCGTTTCCCCGCTGAATGGCTATACTTAGCCTTTGAACGGGAAAAGAACCAGCCCTCTTATCATCAGCAGCAACGACCAGTTGTGGATGGAGTTCCTTTAGGTACTTTACCGCACGTGGATCCCACGGACCGATAGTCTCAACAGTAAATGACACGAAATGTATACTCATCTCTCAGAGACTCATATTTGCGCCACTTAATCAGTTGAGCTGCCTCTGATGCCGCCCCGGCTCTAAACAATGTACCCCTGAAATGAGAAGCATCCCACACTAGGGCTTTACCTCTCTCCCAAGGGACCAATGTCATACCGTCGGGTCTTTTGCAATGGTCTCTAAATATTCCATAAGGCTCCAAAACCGAGGGAACATTTAAAAAGACAAGAGCCCTTCGTATGACATCGTTCAAAGAACCGTGCTGTGAAAACCTACCAGCACTTTTAACATTATTATTTTAACGTTATTATAAAACAATAATTTATTTATATATTTTTTTCAGGGTCATAAATGACGGCTTGGAGCCACTTGATAAAATTCAAATATTCAATGTTCAAAAGGCTAGTACCGAACCATCGATCACTTGGACTCGGCCAAATAAATATGAAAAAAAGAAAATACCAGAAACCAAACCAAATCATTTAAGCACATTGACAAATAGTTATAAATATTTAGCACTGAAACCTCCGAGCTATTATGCAGTTGATTAATATATTGTAATATCTACTATTTCTTTATTTCTTTTATATATTTAATTATAGCACACAATTATATTAGAATTGTATTATGATATGTTGTAGTAATAATATAGCCATTCAGCGGGGAAACGCAGCCAGCGTTCTTGGCACGATATCGCGGGGAGTAGGACTGTATGATATTTAAGATGATAATTAAGTTACATACATACTAGTTTTAGTTTATATATTATAGTTTTTAATATTGTATATAATAAAATATTGGATATTATGTTATGTAAATAAATGTATTTAAAAAATAATATATCACGATGAAATCTATTTATTTAACTATACCTATTTTTCTTTAAGATATTAATACTCTTGCCTAAGTTAGCACCTTCATAGAGATGACGTTAATATTTTGAGGTAAAATATTTTGCCCTGACAGTTATTATGCATTGTCAAAGTCTGAATGTAAACGAATTAATATGATGAAATATAAACAAAAAAATATTTTGCTGCATCTTTCAGTTATAATATACATATTTCATCTTTCAGTTATAAAATGTAAGTACTACTTTCGAATTTAAACAAAATATATCACAAATATCACGTAGCCATAACTGGCCATAACTAACGTTTTTTATAGGTTATCCTGCTAATATGCATAATATGCCTCATAGAATTGATTTAAATGACGAAAAACTCTATCCTAACGGTACTGTGGTTGGAAAATATAATTATGTCGATAAAGAGGGAAATCCAGTGCAAGTAAAGTACTACGCGGATGACACATGTTATGGGTAAGTTAAATAAAATGTAATGCTATTGATCATGTGAAAATATGTAATGGGTCTAACTAATGATATTTATTTAGTGTTGAATTGAAGAGTATGAAAGTTTTAAATACAAATATTGAACCGAATTCAGTTCCTGCAGAGAAACAAGCAAATATTGATAACGTATTTCAAACGTTGGATTCTTCTAGTAATTCTTTGCCAGATATTTACAACAGCATGAGCTATCCTACAACTACAAACAAATATAAATACCTTCAGCTTGGTGATTTAAACAGAGATAAAGACAACAAGGGAAATCATAAAACCTCATCTGATTATGAGATCTATTTGCAAAACGAACTGCAAGCACCAAAAGAAAAGTGTGGAAAAGATAAAGTACGTATTTACATTGATAAAGGTAAACGCAAAATTCGTGAAGTTTTAAATGATATCGCTACGTTTAAATATTCAGAACAATTTTGATTAAGTTTATAGTATTGCTACAATAAATAAAAATAATGATATAATGTTTTTTGCTTTATTTAAAAACTTTAATATAAACATGTATCTGGTCTTTGTCATCCAGTAGCTTAGAAACGGATTGGCGTCGTATAATTAAACACTCTGGACTGTCAAATACAATCTTGGGATCTTGCTTGTTTTGTATGTGTAAACCTTCACCCGTATAGTTATAGCTCAGGATGTGCTCTCTCTTAACAGTTATCTGAGAAAATAAACATTTTTCAACTAATTAAAATATTTATTTTTACGCTAAAGTTTTAATGTTATTAAAATACTTTACTTCACATAAATATTTAAAATAAAATACAAAAAGACCATTTCATATGAAGTTTGTCAAGTTAGGAAATGAATATTAAAATTATTTATTGGTATTGCCGCAATGTTTCAACAACTGTTATAAATAAACTATTAGATTTATGAGTGTATCATATGGAGTACACAGAATTTTAAGATAAATAAGAGAATAAATAAGATATAAATTTGAGTTTAATAATGAAATTCATTATTATGCCTCGTGAAAAAGTTACCATAAAAAGGCTCCGTAAAGGAGTAAGGTCCGTGCCGTGGTAGGGGTTGTGGTAGGTGGTAGGGTCAGGGGTTAATTTCACCGTATGCGAGCTACCCGGGTTTGTAGATTGTTAAATTTAAGTGCTGATTTAGCACGTTCTTGGCGGTGAAGGAAAACATTGTGAGGAGCCCTGCCCGTGAAACTCTCAGAAATGAGGGATCTGTTGCCAGAAGTGGGTAAGCTGTAGCTATATCTATTAAAGTCGGGGAAAAAGTTTCGTCGTATTTTATATAGAAAATCAAGACATTTTTTTTCAAACTTTAATTACATTTAGTTATAATATGTATATGCCATTTTATTCGATAATTTGTTGTCATTGTGTAGGTAGGTAGTGACTTTAATCTTGGGGTTTTTGATAAAAAAATGCGACAAGTAGTTTTGACAGACCTCTCTTGTTGTTAACTTAACAGAATCCAAAAAAATCATAAGAGACCGAAACAGGTGAAAATCTGAGGGTGCGAGGTCAGGGCTATATGGTGGATGCATTCATACTTCCCGACCAAACACTCTCAATTTTTGCTGAGTGGCCATAAATGTATGTGGTCTGCCGTTATCATGATGAATAGCCACTCCTCTTCTGTTGATCAATTCCGGCCGTATTGAATATTTGTAGTTGACAATAGAGATCCAAATCGATGGTTTTGCCCGGCGGTAAAAGCTACGATAAACGATCCCCTTCCAATCCCATTATACACACAGTATCACCATAAGGCGTGTTAATCCGGGTTTCGCTACAGTCTGTGGAGATTGACTACCCTTTGACCATGTTCTTGTCGTAGGTAATCCACTTTTCATTTCCGGTGATCAATATTTTCAAGAATGGTTCGGTTTCCTTGGGTTTCAATAGAGAATACAAGATTTATTAGGTTTCTTTCAGTGAGCTCGTGTATCACCCAAATACAGATTTTTTTTTTGTATAGCCAGACTTTTTCAAATGGGACAAAACTATTTTGCGGTTAGTCGTCAATTCCTCGTCAATGTTGTAACTACTAATTTGCCGATCTTGTTCCACTATTTTTTTAAATGGCGTCGACTTTATACGTATGAAGACGACTAGAGCGAGCTGCATTTTTGACACCAAAATTCCCGGATTGAAAACGCTTGAACCAACTTTGTGCTACTTTTACTGACGACTGAGGTTTTTTTCGCGTCTTGAGTTGTAGTTTTCGCTTTTTTAAGTTTTATTACAATAAAACTTCAGAATATATCGAATTTCTTCGTTAGATTCACTCTTTTTAGCGGACAGAAAAGCAATTGAAAAATGGCGGTAAAATGTTTTTTTACTTTTTATTCATCTTTTTTTTTAATTTCCTATATGTATTGATATTGAAACTAGCCAGATACAAACAGTACAACCAAAGAGATTTTTCTTCAATTTTATACAAATAAATTAGGAAGAAACTTTTTCGACGACTTATTAATATTATTTGGGTTTATAGCTTCCTTTCATAACCAGTTAATATACAACGTATTATGAAAATAAAACTTAGAAAATTAGAAGTACGTCAATTTGAATAAAAGTCATGAATAGTGAATTAAACGGCAAGGAAAATAGCTAGTCTATTGACTGCAATGTCTAATTGACATGCATATCGCGCGCACTGTTATCGGAAGCAATTGATGCATCTGAATAGGAGCGATGAGAAAACTTGAATACTGATTTGTGCACGTTGCCCGCTTCAGTTACGTAATATTGAACTAAATACATTTTGAGTTTAATATTTCCACCTATTTTTTTAGTTATATCCTGTGGCTGCAGTGTGCTGACACCACACGTTGTGTTCCTGAAACTAACTCAAATCTTGTTTATTTCTAATCGATATGATTAAAACCAATGTTTTTAGTAACTGTGAAGGGATAGTCTTTTACATTATTTCGATCTCAGAACTGCTTGATGCATTTGTTAACTAATTGAAAAATGGAAAACATACAAATCTATGTCAAGTAAAAGGTTTAAGGTGAAAATAATGTTAACAATTATTATGATATCATTATAATCATTGTTTCGCATCGACTGCTGTTAATTCTTAAAATAACACAAGGCTCCTTCTTACACCTTACATTGTAACATGCTGTTTACGAATGAATGATTTAATGAAAGTTACTTACACTACAAAGGTGACTAAAGTCAGTTAGCCTGCAAATCCATATTATAATATCGCTTTCAGTTTCCATATCTTCGAAATTATCACAATAAGAGTTATCTTTAATCTCCTGCAATTTTAAAGTAATATTTATAAACTATATAATGAAGTAACCTATAGATAGTTTGTAGAAAAATTTACATTTTTACGATCACGTATGAGAACGTTCTTAGGTAGGTTTTGAGAAAAAACTTGTGAACGAGATTTTGCTTCAAAATTTTGTTTTTCTTCAAAAGTTCTCCAACGTTCATCGATAAATTTAGCCGCCATCAGTAACAGTGGATAACTATTTCTGTGTGAAAAAAGACGTTGTTACTAGCTTCTCATCATTCCGATATTTACGAAATATGATAACTTTCAATTTAGTGTTTTATGTAACTCACTTCAATGAACTAATGATAGCTATGCATTGCACATTCATAGATAAGTTCGAGGGTTTTAAATAAATTTTTAAAGATTTTCCATTACATAATGTCAAAGTTGGTATTTTTGAATGGTCAAAAGAAAAATGTTTTAGGATTGAATCCAATGCGACTGTCTTCTGACAATTTAATACAGGACAAATTATCGGTCTGAAAAAGAAACGGCTTTAGTAGTTTTCTTTACGTAGATATATAAGTTGCCATTGTACTTGCTTTACCTTACACTAAGGTTCCCTTGCGTATCTTTAACGCTGCATTTACTCCCATAAAAATTAACTGTGCTTGAATTATTGCCATCGTAATTGGAATTGATATATTTAAATGTAGCTTTTAAACTGTTGGTAGATTCATGAAAGTGGAACTGAAAGTGAAGCAAATCAACATATACTTATATTATTAAGATTTATTAAATATTATAATTTATTAACCCGGTGCGTTGCAGATACAGAAGAAATATTTGTGGAAATATCGTTTTAAATTTGGAATCGTTATATTGTTTAATTAGGAATGTTAATACATTCATTGAAATTGAATGATAAATGACTTTAAAATAAATTTGTCGGTACGATACGCGCGCCACCTTGTGTAAGTTAATTGTACTATGCCTATAACCTTCGCGCAAGTGCTAGCAATGCGTTGACAAAGTTTTAGTGCAATCTTATGAACGGCATCTTTTTCAGCGCATAAAATACGAACAAACAAAAATTAATTTTTATATATTAGATAATACATATATTTATTTTCATTTAGTGTTGCCACGCTGCAGCTTATTATGACTACGCTCTCAAAGAATACCAGCGATAAATAGCAGCATAATGCTGCTGTGTTTCGAATGATTAGTGTAGAGAACCAGAGACCCTCGTAACGAGACATTCCATCTTAGTCCTCAGAGGTGACGAAGCATCTACATTTTGATTTATAACCGATGATAGATGTATTTGTACTTCTATAAATAAATTGTCTGATTTTAAATATGTATAATTTACCTAAGCGCTCAGCCTCGCTGATAATTAAGAATCCAGTTAGTGGCAACTATTGAAAGCACAAATATCATTTAATTTTTTTTTGTCAGCCAAGTAATGCCCTGTTAAAGAGACATGGATTGTTCCTGTTGTCGTAATTTTGATGCTTGTTAGCTGATATGGCGTATAGCGTACGACCAAATGTATTATCCCTTTGATATTGCTACCCGATATACCATAATCTATAGAAGGTCCTTATCTTTCAGGTCTTGTAGTCACCTCTTATAATACATACTAGATACTTTGGTGTAATAACAAAAAGATAATTTTCCAAAAACGAAAATTTTACACAAAAATATAATTTTTGTTCTTATGTTTAACCCCAGTTTACGTTTTACGTTTACTTAACTGTTAAAGTGATTATCAACGTTTTTATGTGCAAATTTATTCACAAATTGGTTGAAGTTCAAAGTAATAAATAGTTGGTAAAGACTAATTTAGTAACAATAAGAAAATTATTAAAAAGTTTTGATATTAACATTTTGATGAGATCTTCTGTTGTCAGTCTCTTTTTCATTACTGAAATGATTACAACAATCCATTTTATTAGTTCCTGTCCCTGTAATAGTTGAAAATATTTAAATCATGCAGTTTCTACTAACTTACACGTATACACTCTTTAATAATTGATTAATTGAATTGATTGCTACGAATTATTTAACTTTATTAACATTTTATTATTAATTAAGTATAAATGTTATATAATTAGCTGAAGTGGCTTTATGGCTCGAACAAACGACAACCGATGAAAAGATTGTCGAGAGGCAGTCTTATACCAGCAAGACATGCAGGAAGGATTCATTAAGCGAGGTCTGTGTCCAACATTGGGCTTGCGAAGGGCTGTCATGATGATGATGAAGAATTATAGTTATATAAATTGTTAGAGTTATTAATAATTAATGATATTTTGTACTTTTACGTGGTAGAGCCATGCTGCAGCTATCTTAATAGTATAGTTGTAGCACGAATGGGTCGGCTCGACTGGGGTAGGAACCACGCTCTCACAGAATACCAGCGTAAAATAGCAGCTTAACACTGCTGTGTTTCGTATGGATAATATAGAGAACCGGAGAACCTTTTTACTGGAATCGAGGCATTCCATCTTAGTCCTCACGGGTGACAATGCATCTGCATTTTGATTCGCAAACGAGGATAGATGTAGATGTCTATAGGCCACAGCAAGCACTTACCCATCAGGTGGACTGAGAGCTCGTTTGACAACCTATCCTATAAAAAATATTAAGAAGAGGTAAAGCTGCTTATATTTAAGTTTGTTTATAAAACGTAATCTTTGGAACTGCTGATCTGATTCAAAGCCATATTATTTCCGAGTAGCATAGGGAATTTTGAATGAACCCATAATACATACTTGGCGTAATTTTAAAGTTATCTCCGCCCGCTAAATCCTTTCTTGAATTACTTTCAATGTTATTGTGGGCTTTACTTGCATTATTAGCAATGCAGACGCCACTATGTTCGTTAATACAACTTCTTCGATCTGAATGTGATGAATCTATAAAACGGTAAGTTTATGTTTATTTACTTTTTATTAATCTAAGGACTAGTGCACCAATTTTATTTCTAATGAAATTTCAGAATGGGGTTTAACGGGGTAACGAACTTAATTTTGAAGTAAAGTCGTTACTACATACAATTTTTCATCTATAAGGGTTAAAATAGGCACACTGTTGCATAGAGGCAGAAATAACCATCTTCCAAGTAGACTTCTATGCAGGAAAAGAATCTTATGGCCGACAAACATGGTTAGTTGAACTGATCAGTTCAAACGGATGTAAGCTAAAACGATTTCCCTACTCAAATTCTTCTTCAAATTCATTATTTGGATGTACGTCAGTTCAACTGATCAGTTTAACAGACCGTGCACACGGAAAAATCCGTAGGTTGTCGTCAGTTAAAACAACTTAAAATTTCTTAGTCACGGTTAGTTTTTGGATGTACGTCAGTTCAACTGATCAGTTTAACTGATCGTGTGTGTCGAGCATTAATACTAGTTGTAGAGCTATATAATAATTTAATAAAACGAAAACTCACCGTCACAATTGCAGCATATAGTGTGGCCAGATTCACAAACATAGATATACTGTCTCAGTATTAAATTCTTACAGAGTTCGCACTTCAGCATTTCTATTTGATAAAAAGAAAACTATTATTTAAATTAAAAGAGTCTATCATATAAGATAAAAATAATATTAGTGTACGTGCTTCTAAGATTTTTTAAAATAGTTGCGTAATAACTGCAAGTTAAAGTTACGTTACTAGTGGCTCAATGACGACTTTGCAAGCCGCCCACCACCTACCCACCTACCTGTCAGGGACACCTGGGCAGAAAAGGAGTTCTACCTATCAACCTTCGAAAAGTTGACATGCGACAAGCTATTTAATCTATACAAATAAATAAAATTTTTTGTCAACAATTTTTTAATTTTTTGTCTGTCTGTCTGTATGTTTGTTTCGGCTAATCTCCGAAACGGCTGGACCGATTTTGACAGGACTTTCACTGGCAGGTAGCTAATATTATAAGGAGTAACTTAGGTTACTTTTATTTACGAAAATGGTTTAAGGTTCCGCGCAAAATATTTAAACCAAATTACACGCGGGTGAAGTCGCGGGGTACAGCTAGTTATTTAATAAAATCAACGCCCGCCACTGTTGTATTAGTGAAAACTATGCTTTTTAACAAACGAGGTCTACGATCTTTGTTCATTTATGCTTCCTAGCGATTTACTTTGATTTTCAGTACTCATTTAGCCTTATTAGACTTTTTGTACTACATCTTGTTTTGTTATATTTTCGTTATATAAACAACTAACTTGACCACATATAAGACAAAAAAGAAATAATCCTATCCCCTGCTATTCAACAAAAGACAATAAGTACAGTCTGTATATATCCGACTCTCAGCGTGAGTTGTATATTATGGTGGAACTATGGCGTTTTCACGGGCTTCCTTACGTTTTTAGAGAATTAATCGATTTTAAACTTTTTTAATTAACATATTTTCTTATTAAAATAAACCACGGTCCGCATTAAATGTGAATTAAAAAAAATAATAAAGGACTGTAAATTATATGTATGTTATGTCAATAGTAGTATTATTATTGACTCTTACGCATAATTAACAGTCCATGTATAGACTACTCCTTTCTTTTAGGGGTGTTATATACTTTATTTAGCAATAACAATAACTAATCCATTAATGCAAAGAAAAAGTGGGTCTTGAAATTAACACAATGATGTTTGAATTTTAAGACCCACTTTGTCTGTGCATTAATATTTTCATCGTATATTATGTAGTAGGAAGTAACACATCTCGACATAGTGTCACATAATACGCGCTTCAGTTTATAAGTGGTTTAGACCATCGCTATTATATAAGTAAGGGTTTGTTATTCTGAATGTTCATTTATGTTAATTTTGCTCTTCACAGTCCACTGCTCCGTTCTGTTTCAATACGTGTGAATCTAGCGAAAGTGAGTTCGATTCTTAATAACATAACTATGTACTAAGTATTTAAAGCAATTTAAATACGTTACAAATCAACAACAGTACTTAAAAAGGTCACGTAAACATTTACACGCATAGAAATAATTAATTATAATTTAACATTTTTATTATTTACCTTGTTTGAAAATGATAAAAAATAATATTATTTCCCTTGTTTTGGGGAATAAAATAATAAATAAATTATTCAAAAACTTTCATATAATCTTGACAACTAGACAAATACATAGAGTACTTAAAACGTAGTGATTATATTCTCTTTGGTACTTAACAATATATACAGTAATTTATGGTACTTAAATAC